GAAGAAAGAAGAAAAGTGGGAAACAGACCAGCTGGAGTTGTTCTTCTGATGTTCATGAGCTCTTCTCTTGTGAAAGAGCTCCGGGTATCACAGCCAAAAACTGAGTTAACAAACAAAACAAGAAAAAACAAAGCACACCAACACACCGAGGCGACTGTATGTAGCGCCATCTTAGATGTAGAAAAAAGAAGAAGAAGCTGATGTTAAGGAGTGTCACAGAGTGTCCAGCATAGCTATAGACTCATGCATAACTGATAATCAGACCAATGGTCACCCTCCCAATACTTTCAGCCAATGATGGATGGAATTCTGAATATCTGCCTGTTACATACTACCCACAGGTAGATTGCTGAGCATTGTTAAACGGCCAGCCTTAGGTCCTCTGAAAGATTCATATAATTATCCCTGTGTTTTCCTAGCTCGTACCTGTGGGTTCAGGCCTCCAGAGTTTTATGACGCTGTTTATGTGTTAGTAGATCTTGGTTAAGAGTTTAATGAGGTCTACTGAGAGTGAAACAATCTGATAAAATCATTGCACAAACTCAAACAGTTTATTTTCTGAATTCCTAACACAAACTAAGTACATTCTGTTGTCAGGTAATTATAGAGGAGGTTATAATTTGTGACTTTCTTCTGACATACTTTCACAATTTGTGTTTGTGTTTGCATGTTCGGCAACATACCTGTTTAATTTGGTTACATTTAGTTTATTAAGTCTTAATGGATGATTTAAATGTAACATATATAACTCTTGGTGGCCACGTAGAAGTGCACAAATACAGACATCTTTATGTTGTGATCATGTTTACAGCATATATTCTAATAATCTGCTGTAATTCCATCATCGTATGCCTCATTGTGATTCACCAAAACCTCCATGAGCCTATGTACATTTTCATTGCAGCTCTGTTAGTCAACTCTGTTCTTTTGAGCACTGCTATCTACCCAAAGCTTTTGATTGACTTTTTATCTGAAAAACAGATCATATCTTATCAAGCCTGTCTCTTTCAGATTTTTGTCTTTTACTTTTTAAGCTGTTCAGAGGCAGCCATGGCCTATGACAGGTTTGTGTCTATATGTAAACCTCTGCAATATCCAACTATCATGAGAAAAACAACTGTCAGTATTTTGCTGGTTTTAGCTTGGCTTGTGCCTGCTTGTGAGATTGCGGTGGCAATTGTACTAAATATTAACAACAAACTGTGTAGCTTTACTTTGAAAGGTATTTACTGTAACAATTCAGCTAACTATCTTTACTGTGTAAGTTCAAGAGCACTATCTATATATGGTGTAGTTGTTCTGCTTAATATTACACTTTTCCCTATGCTCTTCATCCTGTTTACATACACAAAGACACAATATCCTATCGAAGTTGTGGAGAAGTCAGGAAAAAAGCTGCACAGACCTGTTTACCACACCTGTTGGTTTTAATCACCTATTCGTTTTTGATTACGTATGACATTATTATAGTTAGACTGGACTCTGATTGTCCAAAAACTGTACGTTTTGTAATGACTTTGCAGATGATCATGTATAATCCTCTCTTTAATCCAGTCATGTATGGACTAAGGGTGAAAGAAATTTCTAAACACCTCAAAAACCTGTTCCGTCAGGCCAAAGTGAACTAATGTATCACCACTAATGTACTCACTTTACAATATTTTTTGTGTAATTATAATCATGGAAGAGATATGAGTTGATCTGGTGCATGATGGAAGGTATTTAATGTAAGGATTTATTTCTATGACTAAAGACAACAACGTAACTACTCATAAAGTTGCTACAGGTATTTAAATATTCAGCGCAACATTTTTATACTGTATGGTAATGACACTTTTTTGCAAAAAACAAGCCCTACTACCAGTAAAAACTTTATTATTAGTGTGAATAAGTTCACTTGAAATGACAGCCATGAACAAGAGTCTTTTTCTTTTTTCTTTGCATTACAGTTTCTGGTGTTCAGTTCAAATAGTACAAACATTGGGCTTGTCTGCATATCAGTGAGAGAATATAAATTAATAATAATTTAATTAAAATACTGTCTGAGTTTACTTTTAAATGGAAACACTGTTTGCCTGTAAAATCAATGTGTTATAATTAAATTTATGTTTGCTGTTGTATATTTGTCTCACTTTATATTAGATAGACATTTTTATTTTCTTTCCTGTGCTTCTCTCTGTGTGTGAGAGTCCTTTATGTTTTTCCTCCAAATCAAGCACCTTGGACAATTGTGATCAGAATCAGAAATACTTTGTCGATCCCTGAGGAGAAATTTGTTAATGTATGATAATGTAGGTCAGGCAATAAAGTAAGAGGCCAAAGTAAAGACAAAATACTTAAAGAAGATAGAGAAGCAGACCATTTGATGCATTTTCGTTTCTTAAATCGGTTTCGGTCCTATTTATCAGATC